CATGCCGGTCAGACAGCTCCCACCCCCCTGGGACATTTCCCGGGTTCCCCTGTGGAGTTTGGGGCATTTGGGGTAACCGCTGCGACGCCGGTGGGAAAACTTCTGCCTCGGTGGCCCCGAATCCGTGGCGCGTGGGGGTCGGAGGGGGTCGGAGGGCTGGCCGGCGGGGCTGGGCGCCCCGCTGCAAAGCCGCGTCCACCCTGAAGGCGGGGATTTGAATGAGGAATGGGGCCGTGGTGGTTTGAGTTTGGGGTTCGTTTTAATTTTCCTTCCGAGACAAGCAGTCCCTAGTTTCGCCTGAAGCTTTGTTTCCCCAAGTGTGGTCCAGCGCAAAGCAGCCACCTGGGAGCGCGACCGCTTATTTTAAAAAAATAACCACAAACCTCTCCAGGGCCCCACCCCTCAGGTTGGGCTGCGGTGGGGATGCTGGAGGGAAGGGGGGTCTGAAGCTTTCGCTGGGAGAAGTTCGAGAACCACTGGCGCCGGGGTTTGCAGATCCCTGGCACCGAGGAAGCGCTTCGCCCGTTAGCTGTTCATGTTAACAGTTGGGGAGACTTCGGCTCCCAACTTGGCTGGCTGTGTAACTTGCATCATTTGCGGAAAGCACAGATTTTCCTAAACCCAGCGCCCCTTCACCCCGCCCCCTTTATGACTTCTCTCCCGGACTGGGGCTCAGATGTGTCCAGGTCTAACTCCTAGCCCACCTCCCCCGGGTTATTCTGATGCTTGGAGAACTTTGCAGAGAAAGCAATTCTCCTTGTTGGTGGCGAACGTGAACTTGCCCAGTGTTTTTTATTTGGTCTCAGTTCATTCTCACTACAAGCGCAAGAGGTAGATATATTTTATCACTCCATATTTTCAGAAGGGGTGTGTTCAAGTTCGAGTAGGGAAGCTCAGTAGTAAGCCAGCCGGGAGCCGTGCTGTGGGAGGGACCCCTGAGCGGGCCTGTTACCAGCACCGTCGCATGTGGTCCTCAGTCATCCTGTGAAGCACAAACTTCTCCTCCCCTTTCATTCTGGGCATCAGCCCTGCGTGATCGGAATCATCAGCGATGCAGGTCACTTCGTCTCTTGGTCCTTTGTTTTCCCCGAAGTCCCCCGAGCCCGTCAGCAGCTCCAGGGAGGCAGTGTTCCAGAGGTTCTGAAGGAAAGCCTTCGTTCCTTCCATCCATTGACTTCAACGTACTTAAGTGCACAGGGCGTTCTGCAAGATGGCTGATAAAACATCACCGCCCTCAGTCCCAGAGCACCTCTCCTTAGCAAGTCAACCAAATTGTATTTCCCTACAAAGATGTCTTGTCTTAGTTAGACTTGGGGAAAATTGAACATAATGTGACAAACACTTTTATAAATGTTCAGAAAATTGATACATGGATGCCTACCATATATGCACAAAGTATTTCTCATATTATTTAGGCATGGGGAAAATTGGAAATAATAGACCTTATAGTTACTGAAAATTAGGAAGCATGAGTAGCATGAAACAATGTGACTGTATTATTATATAATTACATTTACGATGTATTTTAGAGATACAGCACCATCACTCGTGATATATGGGGAAAAGATTACTTTTACAGTACATTATGATCCCAAAAAATCTCCAGTTAACAAGTTTTTTGAAGGTGAATAGAAAATAGTCTGTAATGTTCCTGATACACATAGGTTGAAAGATTATGAGTGATTTCCACTGCTGTTTTCTTCCAAATTTTCTCTTGTAAACATGAGTTTCCTTATAATAAGGCAAAGAAAAATTTTTAAATAAAAATTAAGGTTCTCATATTAGAGACTTATTAATTAGTGGTGTTTCTTTATTCAATAAAGAATTACATAGCACTTTCTAATGTGGTGCCAGGAACTGTGGTAGGTACTTTGCAAATGTGAACACAGTGTTACTTCTTGGTATCATTACTATGGAGAAATAATGTCTCTATCAGTTAGGAATGAATTTTGGCTCTAAGTAACGAAACTGAGCTAATGAGGAATCTGGACGTGGTTGATTTAAGAGATCAGTGAAGTAAGGACCAGCATCTGTAGGGATCTTAGCATTTTCCTCATAGTTACAACATAGCTGCACAAGCCCATGTCATCACATCTGCATTCAGGGCAAAGTGTCCGTTCCCTTTTTATCATGAAAGCCAAACTTTCTCCAGAAGCTCCTTTAGCAGTGTGCTGGAAGGGTTCCTAAGTATGTAGGGGACCAAGATTATTTAGTGGTTCTTGCAGTGAGGGAGGGGTGGATAGGGTTTGGAACTGTGGAGGGATTGGTTTTCATATTAACTGGGAAGTAAAACTATTCTTTAGTTGGGGTAGGAGATGGCTTCTGGTTCTTTGAAGTCCAGGGCAGACATGCACATCAAAGAACTTTCTTGTGTAAAATGCCACTAGTGCCCCTATGAACAAAATGCCTCATGAGCCATTACTTGGGTCTGGGTACATTACTGCCAGGACAGAATTGGAGTTCTCTTTGCAGGGAAGAAGAGAGAAATAGAGTGGACACTGAGCCACCAGCTGGCCGTGTCTGCCACCATGCCCTTTTTCCTACCACGGACCTGGTTTGTGTTGTAATTTCAAACTGTTTGGAATTAACCCGTTACTTTCTCTTTGCCCCGTGGAGTTCCAGGCGGCACAACGGTGCTGGTTGAGCTGACGCCCGACATCCATATCTGTGGCATCTGCAAGCAGCAGTTCAACAACCTGGACGCCTTCGTCGCTCACAAGCAGAGCGGCTGCCAGCTGACCGGCGCGCCTGGGGCGGCCCCCAGCACGGTCCAGTTTGTATCAGAGGAGACGGTGCCCGCCGCCCAGGCCCAGACCACCACCAGGACCATCACCTCAGAGACTCAGACGATCACAGGTATGGGTGGTGCGTGGGGTGTCCGTTACACTTGGCCGTGTCCCAGCCGCCTCTGTGGAACTTGTGAGAAAGTTTCCCAGGGTCTACCCCTTGGGGTTGCTGATTCGTTATTTTTAACAAGCTCCGCGGGGAAACCAGCTGTCCAGCCAGGTTCCGGAAGTGCTGGGTTAAAACATGAAGTGTTAGAAGTTATAAATGTTGTCATATGTTACACAAAACAAACAAGTTTCTAAAGCAAAAGACTAGAGAAAAAGGCTTGCGAGAAATACATTGCAGTTAAAAAAAAGATAGTTATTTTGGGTGATGGGAGTGTATGTATGGTCTTCACATTTGCATTATTTGTATAAAGGGACATAAAACATTGAGTGTTTGTTTGTTTGTTTTTGAACCTGTGAACAGGCATCGATGCCTCCCCTCCCCTGGACTGCACCCGGAAAACAGAAAAGTACATCCCAGTTCTGGGTTGTATCCATTTACTCCACAAAAAATAAATTGCAGGTGGATCCACAATTTAAATGTGTATGATGAAACCATAAAAGTCCTAGAGTAAATACTATACACACAGATGCACACACGTGCACACACACACGTACACCTATTTATGAATGAGTTAGTGCAGACATTGTGGGTTCTGTGGGGAATTGGAGAATGTATTCCTTAGCTAAAGGCATTCACATTTTTTAATTAAAAAAAATATGTGTGTGTGTGTCTACCAAATATAAATACTGTGCCTACCAAAGAAGACAGGTTGTGGACACTTCCCCCGAAAAAAAAAATATGTGCTTGCAAGTAAACTTGCAATTTTTCCAAAGTAGAAACAATGTATTAAGTATAAAAACAGCTGGAGGAAAAAAATTACAGCATATATAACTAAGGCCTAATGTCCCTCATATATAAAGAGCTCCTAAAATCAATAAAGTAGAGAAAATGAACCAAGTGGAAGAGTCAGCAAAGGGCAATTGGTGAGATACAAGAGGCCCTAACCCTGAAAGCATGCTCTGGTGCCTTGGTAGTTAAAGACACACATGTCAACAGAAGGCTGAGGGCAAGGATCTGCTTTTCATTTCTGGGGATGTAAATTCACATAACCTGGATGATTTTTGTGGTGTCTTTCAAATTTTAAATATCATATTTAAAATCTTTCATGTTTAAAAGATACACAAAACACATTTACCCAGTAAGTCCACTTCCAGGTATTTATCCTATAAAACTTTATAGCATATACTGTAAAGAAAGTGGAGCCTGTATATGTAAACATCAAGAGGAAATTAAATAAATCAGTATCAGAGATTCGGGCAGTGGGTATGACTTAGCCTTCAAAAGGGGAGCTAGGTTTGTATGCAGACATAGAAAATTCTTGAGGTAAGTATAACATATAGAGCATTATGTTCAAGGTCAGCTTCTAGAACAGGAATGAGGCAGGTAATGTTAATGAGAGAAATGTAAGCCATGCACATTAGGGAATAGTGGGGACTGTGGTAAAGTGGAAGCAGCTGCTCTTTGGGTCCAGGCAGATACCTGAGTTTTTCAGAGAAGCCAAAAAATGTGAAATTTCCCAAACTTTACAACTTTGATGGCCAAACAGAATACACCTGTGAGCCCAATCGAGCCCACAAGCTTTTTTTAGCGTATTCTTCTGTTGATCAAATAGTCCATCTGGAGCTGAGTAGAGAACACCGACTTTCACTTCATCAGTTGTATGTTGTGATGTTTGAATTTTTTTGTAATATGCTAAGTTCTGTGGTAATTTCCCTAATGCATCCAAAATAATGTTTCTGCTGAGTTTTTAAAACATTGAAATGTAATTATAACTGATCTCACAAGCCTTAATAATACTACCTTGAGGTCTTCCCACTTTCTCCAGAGTTTATCTTAATTGTCATCTTAGAGAAAGTCACCAAGAAAACATGAAAACTAAAAAAAAACACAACACCTTAGAGATGGGCCTGGTACAACCTTCTCATTTTAACGCTGGACGAAATGTCACTACAGATGGGGATGAGACATGGCCAACGTCCCACCACAAGGTGAGGACAGTCCTAGGACTTACGTATTTTGGCCCTTACCTCAGCTGCCTTCTCTCTGCAGACTTAGCGTTCAGTTCCCTGTCCTCAGAAACAGGCTCCCAATACCCCTGCTGTGGGCGTGAAGCCTGTGACCTGGTGCTCCCCCTTCATCTGTGGCCATGACATCTTTCTGTGTTCTGAGATTTTGCTTATGGTGTTCCCTCTGCCTGAAATGCTTTTCTTGTCTTTGCCTGGCTGACGCCAACTCAGCCTGAGAGTTTAAGGTTCGTGACGGTCTGCACACAAGGGACCTGGCTTCATCGGGAACACTCCCGTCCCCTCTGAATTGCCGGAGCCATGAGGAACGCCTTTCTGTTTTCCAGATGAGCCAGGATTCCTCTGGCCGCAGAGCCTCCAGACCTGTTGTTCCTCTGTCTGGAACTGACTTTATTCTTACGCAGATGTCAGAGCTGGGCCTAAGGACATTTCCTCCAACCCTGTCCTTGACATCACACACACTATTTGCCCAGACCAGGCCAGGTGCCCATATTTCTGTGATTATTTGCGCTAGACCTGTAAGGTCTGTCCCGTCGTGGGAATGTTGGCACCATGAGGTCAGGGGCTGGGCCCCTCGTGTTCACCGCTGGATCCGCAGCACCTAGAAGGCGCTGGGCACAAGGGCGCTCATTCTCGGTTGAGTAAATGAACTGACTGCCCGAATCTGACATCTGTCAGTGAAACTCACCCCACACCCAGTGACTGCTCCTTCTGTCCCCCTAGTACTTTGCTCGAAGATGTCCACCCTCCTATCAGTGTCTCCATTGCCCATGACCATCCACTCCTGCTGTGCCTGTTTTGCTGACCGCCCTGTGCACTCAGGCCAGACCTAGGGTCAGTCCTCTTTGTGCCCAGCTCACGGTGGCACCCACTGCACCATGTCGAAGGGAGCTCCGGAGACTGACTGCTGGACTCGCCTCCCAGTCTAACACCCCACAGCCCTAGACGGGGCAGGTGGCCTACTCAACTGATTAATATTCCTCATCTGTACAAACGGGTCATAATGGTACCTGACACTCTTAGGTCAGAGAATTAGGAGCCTAATACCTAATATAATTGGGCGATTGTGAGGACTCTGTGATAATCCACAGAAAGGACTGGGGCAGAGTGATTGTCCTCAATAAATGACCGCCCTTATTAATGAGGGTGAGTGAACAGGCCACGAGCAGATGGGGAGATCTGCTGCTTTTCTGCCTGACTCAGCCGCTCTCTCTGATTATTCCTGCTTCTGTGCCACAAAACAAGCAGAATCTTGCTTTTTTCTTTCTTTTATACTATTTTGTTTAGTTTTCTGGGCCCAACTCCCCCCACACCTGAGCTTCAGTGTCCACCAGTGACAGTCCCCAGACCTGCCTGTGGACCAGAGCCCCCAGGGAGCTTGTTAAGGACACTGGTGCCTGGGCTCTGCCTCCTGCACCTGCATCCCTGGGGCTCAGGCATCTGTGTTTTTAACAAGCTCCCTGGGGGATTCCGGGTCTCAGCCGGGTTGGAGAGTCCCTCACTGCCCGAGGCCACAGCCCGAACCCGGACACTGGCAGATTCTCCAGGTGCCCTCACCCAGACACTGTCCAGACTTACTGGTTGCTCTTTGGTCCTTCTTTAAGCGAAACCCGTCCTCACTCAGCTCATAGGTCTCCTCTCCGTCCTATAGTAGTTGGATTAAAGTAAAATTTATTCTCTGCCTGCTAGCTTTGAAAGCTTCCTGTTGTTTTGCATTTGATTTAAGAACTTCCTGTAGAAGCAGTAAAATTAGATGTTGATGCTGGTGAGGGGAGGAAAAAAGCATCTAACATGCATTTTCTAAGTTCTGGCTTAAAATCATGGAGCTCTGGAGGCAGGGCCCTGAGTTTGCATCTTGGCTATATAGGGCCAGGGGAGCCAGCCCGGTGACCGTGGCAAATTGCAGGGACTCTTGGTATCTCATTTTTAAAGTGGGGACAAGAATAAATTGAAAGTTTGGGGTCCTGAGCCAGACTGGGTTGAACTGCCGTAAGCACTTACTCACCAGGGAACCTTGGGCAGGTCACTTAGAATGAATTGATCTCTTGACCTTGATCTCTCATCTCTCTTGGTTAATTTTTACTCTTCAGGTTCCAGGTTACAAGTCACCTCCGCCTAGANGTGAATTGATCTCTTGACCTAGAATGATCTTTTCATCTCTCTCGGTTAATTTTTACTCTTCAGGTTCCAGGTTACAAGTCACCTCCGCCTAGAAGCTAGCCATGATTTCCCCCTGAGGTTAGGTTTCTCACTGCTTCCCCACTTAGCACTTACCATAGTAGTAATTAATCAGTTATTTGGTGACAAGCAGTCTTTACTTAGCCAGAGGAGTGAATTCAGATGCTGTTGGGGGTCCAGCCGTGTAGCGAATGCAGCAGATGGAGAGTGGGAGGGCCTGTGGGCAGCCGGCTGAGAGAGAAAAGCAGCCCGGACAGCCAGCAGCCATCGGCAGCTAGGCCTCGGTGCTGCTGGGAGCTGGGCTGGCTCTGCAGGCCATGCTGTTCTCCTGTTGAACGTGGGCAGTTTCACAGAACATCAGCATGGTACAGGGCCGCTCGACCACGGTGAAACGGCAAAAAACACACGAAATACCTTCGTCATCATTTGGAGCCACAAAATAGCAAACCCCCTTCCCCACTAACCTGAGTGACATCTGCTTTTCTACCTATTACAGCTGTAGCCTCCCGTTTCTCAGTACTATTTATTAAGATATCAAACCAGACTCCTCCCCCACATCCTGACAGCTTCCAATGCAGGCTTCCTTGAACCCTCCCCCCAAATTACCTAGCATGAGCCCCAAACTGAGTCCTTTCTAGCACCGTTGCTGAGACTCCACAGTTCCCATGGTCTGAGCGTTCCCTCAGTGCAATGAGTAATAAACTTACCTAAAGTGTGTCCCTGGTGGTCTGTGGCCAGAGGACAGGGACATAGAGAAGACCCAACTCACCTAATTGATTTTGAAAGCCTTAAAAAATAATCTGAAGGCTGAGTTTGGATTGTGAACCATAAACTAGTAGTTCAATTTCTAGTTTACCAGACTGTCAGTCTCCCTGCAGGGCAGGCCTGGCACCGCACAGGCACTCAGTAAAACGCTTACCGAGTGAGTACAGGAGAGGACAGCTGTAAGGGTTAAACTGGTTCACGTGCCTGAAACACAAGGCCGCGTGTGTCCCATCGCGAGGGCCCAGGGAGAGCCCCTGGGACTGTCGGGCGCAGGTGCTGGAGCCAAGATCACGGAGACGCTCGCCCTTGGAGACTTCCAAGCCCGTGCGCAGGGGAGGATTTCGTTGTGAGACGTACTAGCCCAGGCATGTGTGATGGGCGCAGCCTTGCCGAAGAGCTAGAGGAGTAGATGGTCCCAAGGGGAAAGCCAAGGGGAAAACTGTGAGATCAAACATATAGCAAGTCTTGAAAGACCCACCTGCCTTTGGGAGGAAGACGGTGGAAAAGGGGCATCTCCTATGGTGGTCTGGGGATGGGGCAGCTCGAGGCAAGATCTGATAACAGAGGCTAGAGATAGCACAGGGAGTATGCGGTAGGAGCCATGCTTCATCTCTGGCCTTTATTCTGAAGGAGCTAGGGAGCCATTGAAGGTTGTTGAGCATGTGAGTGACGTAGTAAGACAAACTATGTAATGATTTGCCTTACGATGCGGCAACAATAATACTAGCTAACTCTCAGGTGGTGTTTATGAGGTGCCGGTCCCTTTCCTAAGCACTCTGTATGAAGTCCTTTCCACGTCCATAAATTAAATACTGAGAATTATCCGCATTTTACCAATAAAGAACTCAGGAACAAAGAGGCTAAGTAACTTGTTTGAGATGATCGAGCCAGAAAGCAGCAGAGCTGGGTCTCAAATCCAGGCTGCCTGGCTGCAGGATCTATGCACGTGACCGTGCCACACCATCCCTTGGAAAACTCATCGCAGTGTCTCTCAAAAGCATCACCTAGAACTTCGTTGAAAAATGCAGTGACCCAGGGCCGCCCCTGGAATGACATCTCGTTGCCAGCCGGTGCTTTCCATCTCTCTTAACACCCAGCTGCAAAGGGGCCGCACAGCAAGGCCACTGATGATCTCTTAGGATAAGAACTGGCAGGGCGGACCCAGGGTCAGGGTCGGTTCTGCAGTTCAAAGGTGGCGTGTTCTCTGCACCCTCTTGGTGTCCTGGTGGTGGGCTTTGTCCTTTGGCTTCGCCCTCTCACGTGCCTCATGGTGACGAGAAGGCTGCTGCTGCTTTATGCCTCAGGTCTTCACTCAGCCATGTCCACAGGTCAAGAAAGCGACAGCTTCTCTTTATCAGGGAGGAAATGCTTCCCAGAAACTCTAGATCCTGTTGGCTAGGATGGGACACATACCCAGTTCACTGTCGTGGGGGACACTGGGGACAGGGAGGGGAGCTTAGCAGTGGCATCCAATCCCAAGGGGCCCTTGCAGGGCCACACAATTGCCACTGCTCTGTTAGACGGGACGAGAGCGGGAGTTCTCAGAGCTGGTGTGCAGAAAGAGTTGCCTAGAAAGCTTGTTTAAAAAAAAATACAGCTATAGCTCTAACTGGTTTGGCTCAGTGGTTAGAGCAGTTGGTCTGTGGACAAAAGCGTCCTGGGTTTGATTGCGGCCAAGGGTGCATATCTTGGTTGCAGGCTTGAACCCCGGCTCCAGTCAGGGCATGTGTGAGAGGCAACCAATCAATGTGTCTCTCACATCAATGTTTCTCTCTCTCTCTCTCTCTCTCTCTCCCTTCCACTCTCTGAAAAGCAATGGAAAAAATATCCTCAGGTGAGGATTTAAAAAAACACAAATACAGCTATAAAGATATTCAGACTTTTCTCCCTATATCTACATTAGAACCTCTGGTCCATGATCAAGTTTGAGAACCACGAGCCAAGAGAAAGGGAAGGAAGGATGGAAACCCATTGGCATCAATGTCTGGCACATAGTAGGTGCTCCACAAATCTGAATGAAC